GATACCAAACTTATTGACATAAATTCATGAAATAGTAGTTCAATAAAATTTTTAATGTGGGTCAACAAACAAAATAACATGGCCTTTCACCCTTGAACCGTCTCAAAAAGGGTTAAACATCTGTAGCAGACATAGAGAAAACAAGTACAGATTTACGTATCCTTGACCATGGGAATGTATTAAACATCTGAAGCAGACACATAGAAAACAAGTACAGATTTACGTATCCTTGACCACAGGACTGTATTAAACATTTAAAGTAGTATTTTTCATGCAAATAAAATCATGCTATGCCAATAAACTTACCTTACAGTAGTGTTGAATGGCTGCTGAGGATCAGAGGTTTCTGAAAAATGGCTTTGTTCTGTTTTGTTAACATAAGAAGTGTGGCCATAGACCAAAACAGTCTTCACCTTGTGGTCTCCATCACTCTGTTCATCAACACTATGATGTTGAAAGAAGGATGCCACCAGCTCAGAGGTCATGACAGAACTTTCAACCAATTGTCTTAATATAGAAATAAAAAAAAACTGTCACTCACCCCTTTTCAATGGAAATGAAAGCAATTTATTGATACAACTTTATAAAAATAAAAGAGTTAATACAATACCTTAGGTAATGTGCCATTTCCAAACCCATATCAACTGTCATGCTGTTTGGTTGGCCGTGGTCACTTGAGTAAAAATCTTTGAAAAAGGAAAAGAAGGTATGTTGACTAAGTTTATATTCCACATTCTCATGTACATCAACATACATTATGCCCCTACCTAGAGTTCAATAAACTTAACCCTAAAGTATAGGAGTGGATCTACTGGACTCACCTACTTGAAACAAATCTTCAGAAGGACACAAATGGGTCTATTAAGCCCAATTACTTCAAGTAAAATCTTTAGAAGGACCTGAGTGGAATTTATGAAATATAAACATCCTACAATCCATATATCATAGTAACTAAAACCCATAATCATTTTAAAGGTCTTAGCTTATGAAATAGATCTTTTACATTTTCATTTTTCTACTACTTCCAACATGCTTAATCTTGTTTTTTTTCCTCAACAACCTATCTCCAACATATTTTTGTCAAACTTCACAATAGATGGTTGTTTCCTTCTAGGAACTGAGAGAAGCCCCTGCATACTTACAACACAGTGAGTGTAAAATTGTGATATATCAAGGTTTTCTGCAGTAATTTATCCTTAACCTCTGGTTTAATTAGTTGAATCCCTATATTTTCATGTTCGTGTAAAATTTTGCTATCATACTGTTACCACTAACTTGTTTGCCTATGGCTACAATGGTATTATCTTTTTTCTCCCTCTTCCATTTTGACATATTTCTAAATTACTTATTTTAACTATCATATCATCATACTGTGCTGGAAAAAATAGGATTTATCTTTAACTTTAAACTCAAGATTATATCATGTCAAAAGTATTACAATTTTCCCTAACCATTTTATTGATTAGTCTCTCATAATTCTAGGCCCAATAAACTAATGATTTTCTTCTTGGCAGTACATTATAGTTCTTGATGTTATCTTCTTCCCATCACACACTTCATTGTCCACCTGTTTCTAAATGGTGGCTCTAACAGTACACATTGCAAAGTGTTATTTTCTATCCAAACTTGTTTTTGTTTTTCAACATATGCACAACTTCAACACCATTTCTTTCATTAGAAATTCTACACATCCTTCAGTGAAGATACACTAAGTATACATAAACATGCAAAAATAGAAACATATGTTGTTTGATATCTTATGAGGGTTTATTGGTTATTTCTATAACAAAATACAACCTGCCTTTCAGAAAAAGCTTCATAGAGGTTGTACACAATATAGGCTCACCAGAAGACCTGCTAGAATGTGAAATAATTCTACGATACAGGATTAATTATTAATTAAAATATCCAGCATAGAATGATTCTACACCCACTAAAAATGTTTATAAGCTCTTATCTGTGTAACAACAATACATATTGAAAGTCCATTATGCTTCTTGGTTTACTAAAACACGTGTGTAGCAAAAATTAAAAAAACAGCTTGAATTAAACAAAACTGCTAAGAAATAAAAAACGTTTTAATATAGTTCACTAGTTACCTGGAAGTTTAGGAATATTTATGTCTTCTTTAGGAATTAAATTGTCTTCATTTAATTGTTCAGCTAGCTGTGGGTGGAGAAGATAAACAAATAAGCATTAAAATAATGAAATCTTAGCACATACACTCTACAGATCTAGATACAAGTTCTACACACATGAGTATGTAAAAGATCGGGAAATACAATGAAAATCAGCATGTTATAAAAAAATTATATATGTAAGTGTAAACGTACTCCATGATAAATTTTTAGACCTACCATTTGATGAAAGTTGTAGATATCTTGAACAGTCTTAACTACTTCTGTACACTGACCATTACTCCAAGTCACCTGCCAAAAGACTCAGAACACTAAAATTTGAGGTGAAACTTGATCTTACAAAAATATAATGCTAAGATTAAAATCATAACATGCATCAAAATAATGGTATACACTTTCAGTTGATGTTACTGAAAAACTTTATCATACATTTTGACAGTACTAACATAAACACAATAATCATTGTATACTACCCCCATCTCTATATTTAACATGCAATCAAATAAAATGAGTACAATATAACAGTGGGCATTTGGCAACTTAATGATACTCTAACAAATCTTGAGAATGTAGACACAATCTTAAGGAGTTCAATATTTGATCAATAACTTCCCAAATGATAAATACAATCAGCTGATTTTATTAATACCATCTATCAATGAAATATTTACCATAACAATGTTATATCTTTTAATACTAATATCAGAACTTTAAAATATGGTGTATTTTAAGTGTAGAAAGAATAAGCAAAATCACTGAACAAAAAATTTAGGCTATTACATTGCCATGACCATGGATTATCATTACGCATTCACAAATCATAAAATTCTTTCTTGTAAGTTGTTTAAATCAAGCTAAAATGTATCAAAAGTTCAATATAGTAAAATGTAAGTAGTACCAATAGCACTATGTTAATTCAGAATAAAGATATAAACAATATTACAGTACAGTTGTTTTAATCATAATTAAAGGAATTTATAATTCTGGTAGTCACTCCATGTACAATAAACGTCTGGTAACACTGGAATCTGTGAATATTATCGTAGTTATAAAATGCAAACACTGGGCTGAAAGGGTAAACCCAAAAATGCCTGTTAGCACCTATTTAAAGATCATGGTGGACAGTTACCTGTCATCATAGCCATAAATGGTTGCTATACAAACGATATCAAGAGAGCTGGTTGGAAATTCATTGTCTTGCAGACCAACAACATTCTGGATAACACTAGTAAAGCAATCAAAGTTCCTAGAAGCAGCACAAAGATGGAGCTGGAAGCCACAAAGCAAGCTCTCCTCTGGACTACTGAAAGCAATGAACCACAAATAGACAGTGCCATCAACATAAAACTTGCAACTGACTCATAGGCAGTACTGCATAAAATGCAGTGTGGTTGGTCTTCACATGGATAGCAGAAAGCAAAACACATAGAAGGTACAACCATCACCTAAATGTATGCAACTGGCCATGCAGCTGTAAAGAGAAGCGAGAAAGCTGACAAGAGATGCTCCTATATAAAATTAAGCAGCAACCAAGGAAGGTCTTCTTCGACATTGAGGGAATGAGGCTGCTGAAAAACAGTACATAAGGTGTAGCTAAAAAAAAAAGAAGAGACGAGCTATGGGGACTCAATATGACAGAACATAGCCAGAAGACCACTGGTAACATTGGTAACGAAAGTCTTTTTCTACCTCCTGAAAAGTAGCCAACTTCCACACAAAGGATCAGCACACCCCTGGGATTATCACCTAGTGCTTGAATAACTTTTACTCCCAATTATTTTACAAAGTTTGACTTTAGGATTGTATCAGAAATACTATTCAGAACAATCAAGTTATAAAATATTCTGCTCTTTGCAATCACTATAGGAACAAGTCTCTGCTATGAGCAGTACATAACAATATCTAGGTTGGTAATATGATAAAACAAATGTCAAACGTTCATACTATGGTAACTCTCTCCTAAACTCTCCCAAATGTAGTGAAAAAAAGCCTTTGTTTAAAGGTGTTTATTCATAAAAGCAATATGACTTAAGTATTCAGGTAAAACAAAATAATTGTACATAAATATATTTTTTGATATTTCAGAAGAAAAAAAAGATGTCACATCTGACATCATAATTTGAAACAAGAATCTGTTATATACATACAACCAAATACTATACATTGCTGTTCTATATAGTCACTGCAAAATCTAGAATGATACCAGATTGTGACAAATCTGAGATTTTTACATGCTGTTTCTGAAGCATCATCAGATTTACTGATGCCAAATTAATTTGGAAATTTGTTTTTTTATTTTATTTATATTTGTTTATTAATAATGAATATTTTAACATGACCTTTCATATCAAATGGAAAAATCAAGATTTGATGAATAAAATACTATGTAGTTACCTAAGTTTAAAAGAAACAGTGAGTAATCTTTAATTTTAATGAAAGAGTAGACAAAGTCACAAAGACCCTCCTTCATTTTTAACTTAGTAAGGAATCTCTTCCCCAGAAGAAAGAAAGAATCATTAATGTACATCTATAATGTCACGGTTCAACAACACGGAAAGCTTACCTCTATAGTACATAATCCGTTCTGGTGCATAGTTTTCAATTGAACATTTTCAATTTTACCTGTGAAAAAAAGAGTTTAGATGAACATTAATAAAAACCTGTAATAATCTTCAGGCTCAAAATTCTAATTATTCCTCACAATTCACTGTCTTACTAAAAACATGTAATACAGAAATAATCAATCAGAAATCAGTTACTTAACAACTCATCAAAATAATGAAAAATAAGAATGTCTAAGTATATACATGTACAAACACATGTATGTATCAAAAGTGCTAAGGGAAAGAGTTAAAAATACCTGAAAGTAGCATGTTATTCTCTAAACACAGTTCCATTTAACTACTATAACATGGAAATTAATGAAAAACAACTACTCTCCACTATGCCAAGAGAGAGTCATATTTTACAAAAACAAAACAAGGTAACTAGTATGGAGCCCTCCAACATTAATATTGATCGGTGAAACATACTTATGATCAGGTGGCAAAATATATCCTGCTCCATTCCTTGGCCACTGAAGTACACCAAGCTTTATAATGATGTGTGGGTAGTCAAGCCAATAATGCACAGAGTTCATGGATGTTTGAGTTCTATGGAATTTAATCAGCACTTCATGTTCATTAATCCATACAACTACTAGGTCCAACACCACATCAACCTGTGCTTGACCAGTATATCCATTCATTCAATTACACAATAAAATCTAGAAGTTTAGTCAAATTAGTGAGTCCAAAACTGTATTACCAAATGTATTCAACTATATTTCACTACATAGATCAGGCTATACAAGTGTGAACTTGTGTTATCTTTCTAGAGTACAGGTGCACCACATAATACTACCAGTTCTGAAGATACAGGTAATATTTACAATTCTGGAAATTCTTAATAGACATATTGTGCAAATAGCAGCCATTTTGTAGTATAGTTTTCCTTTTAGGCTAAATACTGTACTGACCAGTTATTTTGTAGTATAGCTTTCCTTTTAGGTGTGCTGACCAGTTTTGTGAGAAGGTATTATGTGGTATGGTTTTCTTTCCAGTACAGGGAGTACATGTGCATGCAGATGCTGAAACAGATGCATTTTCTCACAATAAAACTGAAATGTGCACACAATCAGTAACTAGTTCCAGTGATGTGGGTGAAACACTTCATTGTTCTTGTACATTCAATTTCTATCAGTAGTTGTACACATAGAGAGAGTGAATCACACTTCATTGTTCTTGTACATTCAATTTCTATCAGTATTTGGACACAGAGAGAGTGAATCATGCTTCATTGTTCTTGTACATTCAATTTCTATCAGTATTTGTACACATAGAGAGAGTGAATCACACTTCATTGTTCTTGTACATTCAATTTCTATCAGTATTTGTACACATAGAGAGAGTGAATCACACTTCATTGTTCTTGTACATTCAATTTCTATCAGTATTTGTACACATAGAGAGAGT